GTAGTTTGCATAAGGTTGCAACCTTAAACAATCCAATTAAGGTGCACATCTAAATTTTATCATAAATGTAATTTTGATATTAAAATATCAAAGGATGGCTCAATAATATGCTTTCATCTCTAATTATAAAATGTTAAACTTTAAAAATGGTTCAAATCAAGTAGATTTATAAACACAAGAAAATATTGATAATGGACGGTCTAGATAATATGTTGCACGATACATTATATAGCGGACTCAATTTTTTTTTTTTCTTTTAAATAATGTTGCAACATTCAAATGTAGAATGAAAGATATTCCTAAAAAATTGATTATAAAAGATGCCTCATCCTGCTCACTGATCCATTTTTTAAATCATTGATAATAACAAAAGAGGTCCAAAACATTTGGGCCAATGACAACTATCAGGTTATTTTCTATTACTCAACACACTCCTCTCTCTTTTCCCACTCTTGCATTAGGGCCCATTAAAATGGTATGTTTGGGGAACACGCTTTTTAAGTTTCAGACTTCAAACCTTTTGCCACTCGTTTACAAACAGGATTTCACCCTTAAATTCCAATGAAATAGAAGTACCAAAAGTGTAAATGAAAGCAAAGGAAAACCAGTTGATGTGAGCAAGGTCCATGGGCATGGCATCTAAAGTTGGGGCCCATATTAGACTTAGATGGCAAGGTGTCCTTCTCAGCGACCCATAAAGTTTACTTGAACCAGAGAAGTTATGCTTGGACTTGAAAGAGGGGGTTTTCAACCTAGGGTGCCCTAGGTTTTTTACTTGAAAGTTATTTTTCGTGTTTTAGACTAGAATGAGGACCTAGGTTCTTGAAGTTGCAGGGTTCCAAGGTGGCTGTGCAGCCATTAACCTCAAAAAAAAAAGAAACTTTCAAATTGCATGTTCTATATGCTTGAGAAAAATAGCATCCTGAGAAGGAAAAAGGAACATCCAATTTTTGGAGGGTAAGATCTAGGTGTTTTGAAGAACTCAAAATCTACCTTTAGTGGTTTGAAATATGAAAAAGTTTATATAAGGTTGACCTTAAAATGTAGAACTAAAGATGTACCTCAAAAGTCCATCGAAAAAAGTTGTTTTAATGTTGAAAACCATCTAATTGATCATCTCGACATCGAGATGTATGAATATGAAAAAAAAAAGAAAAAATATTTTGAGTTCTAAAAATAATGCATCTTGCAACACATTATCTTGACCGTCAATTTTCACGATTTTCACATATTTATAGATTTACTTGATTTTAACTATTTTTGGAGTTTGAGATTTTATAATTAGATATGAAAATAGATTTTGAGATAATCCAAAGAATTTTTTATGCCAAAATTACATGTTAAGATAAAAAATTGAGGTGCGCTTTAATTGGATTGTTTAAAGTTGCAACCTTATAGAAACAACACCCTCTAGTTATTCTTAGTTGGACAATAAAAAAAAAAAACTCAAATAGAAAAGATTTCAAAATATCTCATTTACTCGATGGAGTTAATGCATAGTATGATCCCGTGGGAGTTAGAAACCTTGCAAGCTCCCGTGGGAGCTTGTTCTATTAAAACCTTGGGATGTGTGTACTCTCAAAAGTTACTAAAACACCGTTTTGTACTGGTACGATTCCTCATCAGCTAGATACTAGTTACCCTTGAGTTTTGCACCAAGAGATGCATAAGCTTGTGTGCCCCTACACATGCAGAGTGCTCCCCCTTAAATTCTATCTTTTTATTGATAGAGAAGTAGAAAAAATATCACTAATTGGGGCCTACTGAAATGCGCAATTCATATTGCATGTTGAGGTGACATTTATACGGGTTTCCTTGCGATAGAAATTTATTTCTTTCCAAATCTTGACATCAAGGCTTCTAAGTTTTAAAGCCCGACGATGGAGGAGCAGTCGGAACTTAACCAACCAATTCTAGGGTGGTGTGGGTCCTCACTCGGTTCTCTTCTAAAATTCTCTTTTTTGTATTTTGTCCTTTTTTAAAGATTTGAAAATTCCTCCCTTCTATATTATATACCTTTTTTTAAAACTTATCCAATATTTTATTGTGTTTTTTTTAAATCTCCAACCTATAAATCCCTTTATTAGTTTTTATTTTATTATATCTATTCTGAATATTTTCTATATCATCTATTTGAACCGATCTAGATTGCCGACCCAACATTCCAACACGGATCTGTAGGGTAAATGACCCACCCTATATGATCTGGATTTTGATTTGATGAGATGGCGCCATAGTTTTTTTTACTAAAGCCCCAAGTACTAGTTGTATATATTTGGATAGGGTTTTGTTATGCTACATCACTTGGTAGTGTAGACCTTTAAAGTGCTCAACATTTTTTGACACTAAAATACCCTTGAATTGTGATATAAAATTTTTCAAGTAAAGGCATTTTTGGTCATTTAGAAAGGTAGCA